ACATGGATGATTCAGAGTGATTTTCAGTTGCAACGGACGCTCCGTCTTCATTTTCTCTTGTTTGTTTACGAAAATGTCTCTTATGTGGCAACAGAGACTTTAGGAACATTGTTTTGGTCATGATTTTGGAGCTTCGTGCTTGTTGTAAAGAGATGAGATCGATGCAGTGCTTCGAATTTTATGTGACGGCAAAAGCTGATCACAGATATTTTGTCTGATCAAGCTGCACTTTTCGTGAGGTCGTCGCGCGCGGCTACCCGATCACCACAATTAACGAAAGTTTGTCAATTTTGTCTGATCAGATGCAGCAATCTTCCGAATTATTATTGACCAAAGTGGCGTTGCCTCTTCGCACCTACTTTTGCACCGTATATATGGCGGCGTAATACCAGCACTTGTACCCACTGTACTACACACTACACGATACGTCCGCAGCGCCAAAAACTCGGGAATGTTTGGGGGACTTGGATCTACTGTTTGGGGGCTCGTGACTCAGAAATGATTCATTCGTTCTTCCTTCGTTGGGACGACGACCAGACAACGTATCGCAGTTCAAAAGATATTGAATATATCGACTTATTTACGTCACCGTGTCATGAGACGATGATCATTCATTCGTCAACAGTGATAATGCCGTTGAGGCTTCACTGGGCGATTCTAATCGTATTGGCTTTCTCTGTCTCGATATCAGAAGGAAGTTCTTCTGCACAGCTAAAGTCGTTCGTCTCCAAAACTGGGAGCAACGTTGTAATTGGTGTGGATGGTGGAACGGAGGTACGTTTCCTCGGACGATCCAATGCCGCCATCGAATGGAAAACTCTAACCATGTTCATTGCTATACTACAATGGGGCATTCTCTCTTTTTCGAACTTTGCTCAACACAATTCGATTGTATTGATGCAACTTAGAGCATCCGTGCCTGTTGCTTTGATGCCGAAACTGGTGATGTCGTGGGCAAATCATGTGCGTCAGCGTACAAGACCTATCACCCGCAACCAGGGTGGGCCGAACAAATGCCACAAGACTGGTGGGAAAATCTTGGGGAAGCTGTCCGAGGTGCCGTCGCTTCCATT